ATTTGAACCCTCCACATCCTAGGCTCCGCCACGCAACTGTCTGCGTACAATTATCGAATGCGGTGCCGATGAAGCAGCCACCCGAGCAGGTGACCTCCCCCAAGTCGTCGTCAAGGCATTTTGTCACCCGCGAGTAGCCGAAGAACCAACAGTTGGTTAGCGGTAGGCTGATTGCCAGCCTGGAAAATGACATAGGATAAATAGTAAACAGTTTATAACCGTAACCAATCGATGAAGTAATTTTTTGTGTTCTTCAGATTTTGCCTTTTTTGGGCTCATAATTTGAGGGCTTTATCTGAGCAAAGTGATATCACTTTTATCGCCTGCTCCAATAAAGCCGTATCTAAATATACAAATAAGGAAACTTACAAAATTAATATATAGTAGACTGCCATCTATCTTGACCGTAGAAAATTCGTAGCCGCTGGGGCAAAGAAATGATTAGGGTCAGAACAGCCGTGAAGCGAAGTACTGCAGACAAAGCTTATCTATCAGCCTGTCTCCCTGCAAAAGAGCTGGCGCTTGAACGTTAAAAGATATTCTGGCGTCGCAAAAAAAAATTGAAAATTTTTTAAAATTCAAGAGCATATCATGGTAAGGTGACTTCGACTGACTACGACTGACAAACGACTTATAAATTCTGACAATTCTGGCGCTTCCGAATTAGATTCTGACTGTGGAAGGGAAAAGCACGAAAATCTCTTGCATTAAACAATATAATACGATATGTGTAGAAACAGTACACTTATGATGAGCACATTTTGCACTTTATACAGCAGACAAAAGCCCGGGCTTATTATTGGCTTAGATAGACCAGCTTTTTTCAAAATAACGCCGCAGTGCAGCTTCTTATCTGCAGAAACCCTGGGCTGGAACCGACTTCGTTTTCTGGCGTCATTTTTTTGGAATGTTTGTCGGCGACGGGTCAGGCGAAACCACGTGTCGGTTTTATACAGCAGCTAAGACAAATTTTAGCACACAAAACTGACTATTAAAGTAAGCAAACCGAGCGGAGGACGAGTAGGGATCTGCCACAAAAGGTCAAAACCACATGCGAATTGTATATTGTGTACTTGATACTTTATCGTTGCACAATGTCCTAGCACAAATTTAATGCCTTACAACGTTGATGCATACAAAGACAATATCATGAATCGGTACAACGCACTTCCGAGGTAAATACAGTGTAGTATATTAAATGCTTCATTTCCGGTCCTTAGTAAATTGCGGTGGCCAGGCCATTCCAAACAATATCGCGCTTCGCCTTGGCGTAGAGCATCCGGGCTTCGGATGCGTAAGTACGGGGTCGTCAAAATATTTGCTCGGGTCGTTACATCTTGATCCCACACAGCAGCATCCTCGTACGATGTACCGGTCATCGGAACCGCTCGTCGTCGCAAGGCATGTTTTCACCCCGAGCGACTAAAGATAATTGTCAGGAAAGCGTGATCTTCCTGATACGTCTCCTGGTTCAAGGCGCCGTTCTTTTCTTTTCCAGGCATCGTACCTTTTGAATAAGACATCCCAATGCTGCGCATCCAAGCTGCAACTCGACGACACCCTCAGAGCATCTATCGTAGGCCATTCCGATATGACACCCAAACGGACAGAACGTTACGGCCTTCTGATCTTCATAACACCAAGTACAGCTTACTGAAGGCACCAAAAGCAGACCACGACACTAAAACTAGGGTTAATCGATCACATACTGGTAAGCTAGTGTAGTGTCAAAATTCACTCACCCTAGCGCCAAAAAGTTCTTCATCTCAACTGGTAGTTTCCGGTTTCGTACAGCTGACGAATTGAAACTAATACCCTCCTTTTTGCAGTAAAATATGCAACCCTTATCAGATGAGGGCTAAAGCCCAATTACTGACCGATCGTCATAAAAATGCGTAAGAATACGTTGTTTTTGTGTCGAGTGATTCACTCAGCCCATGATGGGGGTTTGAACTAAGCTTAGCTTTGGCTTAGCTTAAGCCTAAGCCCAAGCTACTCTTATCTTGAGCTTTAAATTGCCTCAGGAGGTCAAAATGGGGTCATTTAGGGCTAAGCTTAGCTTGGCTCAAGGTAAGCTTAAACTTCGTTTGTATGAAGCTAAGCCTAGGCTTGGGCTTGGCTTAGCTTTTTTTCGGAGGCTTCGGGTTTACAAAACGGCATTTGAAGCATCTTGAGGTCAAAATCCGGACTACCCCCCCCCCCCAAGTGCATTAGCACCAAGGATAGAATTTTAATTGGTTCGGTACCAATGTCACCGAGCCTGTTTCGACGCTACAACGCCCCCACAGAACCCGAATATTATGTCTTCATCGACGTGCGCCTTATCATGACAAATTTCCGTTTGATTACCCTCACGCGGGCATCTTTTTAGTGGTAAGAATATCCCTTGTATATAAGCTTGACCCGATGCAGCAGAAGCCACAGCTGATAAAAGCTGACATTTCCCCGCATTCCACGACCGCTATCGACTTCAAGACGCATATAGCTATGAAATTCTACTACGCCGTGTTGTTGTAAGTGCCTACAGTCTACTCTTGTACATATCATAATTTTTTTATAGGTTGCCATTCCTGGTCCTACCGCTAGCCAGCGGTAAAAGAGCATTTGTTTCGACCGCGACGGGGGCCTGAAGGTTTGCTGGCACGGTTGCGAGATGATTACTGCTTTTGACACGTGCACGCAGACCGTTGTCCACCATAGTCAAGGTTGTGCCGGGATGAGATGCGCTCTTTACAAGGTGTGTTAAGCTTTAGTGAATCTAGTGTTAGTGTTAAGCATACTGAAGCCGTAGGCTTTACGCTAATTTTTCCAGCTATTTACGGATAAGACGTGCGGGGAGACGACGAGCGGCGCAAATGGTCGATACAAATTTCGCTGGTGCTGCTGTCAGGGCCATAGATGTAACGACATCCGCAACTACTATGAAGATCGGGAGCCGCTTCCCGGCTGCCCGAAGCACAATGTGCTGAGTCACGTTTGGCCACCACACTTCCTTCTTGATGACGAGTAGCCCGAAAAGGATAAATTGTTTCTCGACAAATTTAGCACACATCATACACTAGAACAGATAAAAGTGAAAAAAATACAAACGAGGATGTTATCCGTCGGCTGACCGACTCAGCGGTTCCCATGTGCTGCAGCTTCTTCAAACCCGGCGGAAGTCGACGATGGGGAGTCGACCTCAAGAAGTCGGAGTCGGTACAAACCACGTGCATATTATGCCCTCATCGACTGGCGCCTTATCATGACACATTTTCGTTTTATCTCGCCAGGTCACGTTTTCAGTGGTAAGAACATTGTTCATATATAGGATTGAGTCTGAGAAACCGGCACAACATCCCGCTAAAAGCTGACCGCAATACCTCATCCGTCAACTCGTGATGAAATTCTACTACGCAATATTGTTGTAAGTATCTAATTAAGATGTATTACATTTCATAGACTCTCAATACCGTACTATTTTCCTAGGTTGCCATGCTTGGTACTACCGCTAGCCAACGGGGAAAAGACGGTTTGCCATGGCGCCAACAAGGGCTTGAAGCTTTGCTCGCGTGGCTGTGAGTTGGTGGCTGCTTTTGACAGTTGCACGCAGACCGTTGTACGTTATCACCAGGGATGTGCCGCGATGTACTGCCATATTCACAGGGTAAAATGTTAAGCATTAGTGCGTAGCATACTAAGGATTTATGAATGGCAGTATGACAATTTTTTCCAGCGTATCTCGAATGAGACATGCGAGGAGACGACGACTGGTCGATATAAGCTGCAAATATGCTGCTGTCATGGTGACAGATGTAATGACATCGACAACTACTGCGAAGACCGGGAGCCACTGCCGGGCTGCTCGAAGCCCAACTCATCGCTCATCGACGCTCTTTGGCCACACCACATGATGATTGATACCGAGTACAGGTTCCCGCAAAATTATTCGGGCACACTTGCAAATCCCTTTCTCCTTCTCCTTTGTTTACTATTAGTTTCTGTGAGCATCGTGTAATTCTCTCATAGCATATCGCCCGGGCGCTCTTTGGCGACCCCGATTTATGCTTGATGAAACTGTAGTACCCGGGAAAAAGATAAATTATTTCTGGACCAAAGTGGCGCACGGCATACAATAAACAGTAAAACAGATATGAGTCTTTACGTTGTGCGTGGCAGAACTGAAACATATATTTTAAGCCTTAAGTAAGTCCGATTTTTAGGCTAATTGGTGTCGACTTAACTGAGCATGTTTTCGCAAAAGCTTCAGTTGCACGAGATAAAAGCGGCTTCAAGGGACGAAGGGTTTGGTTAGATAAGCGCAGCGACGCGAGCACGAGTTATGCTTTCTGGCATCATCAATTCCAAAAGGTCTTGGCTAGCTAGCTTCCGGAAGCGACTGTCTATGAGGCTAGCGTAGGCTTTTTTCCAGAAAGAAGGGTTAGATCTTTGGGTATATCCGGCATTTTCGAGTTGCTAGTACAACCATGGCAATTTTCTCAACACATTGCGAGCCTGGCGAAGCCTAAGTCTAAGTCTAAGCCTAATTTTAAGCCGAAGCCAGAGCCTAAGCTTAAGCCTGAGCCTATCCTAAGCCAAAGCCTAAGACCAAACCCAAGCCTAAGCCTAAGCCTGAGCCTAAGCCTAAGGCTAATCTTGATCCAATCCCTTTGAAGCTGACCAAAACATTGAGTCACACTCCGCCGGCTTCGTCTCAAGCCCGGCAAGATAAGTCCGGCTTTTCAGGCCGCCAGCCATTCCCGATAAGCCCTCACGTGTGCCCGTTCTCTGTAACAGCGTACTTTGCAAATTGGCGCGAGTTCTCTCTCAAAAATCGTTTATTATCGGACACAATCGGTGCAAAATATTTTTTGGGGGGAGGATTTTCAGTGTTTTTTTTCGGTGAATGGGGGAAAAATAATTAAAGCTGAGCACTGGGATGGTATGTACAGGGGATACTCGTTGTCGGGTGGGTGGTATGTTGTGTTGTTGTTGTTTGTGGCTAGGCGGACGGGAAATTAGTCCTGGATGGCCTCGCCGGTGTTCTCGATGCCCCGGCCTGCAAAGTGCGTGTTTTTAAGGTTATCATGGGATAAAGGGGGGGGAGGGGATCAAATGAGTTTCTAACTGTAATTGTACTGAAAATTCTTGTTTTACCTATTCTTAAAAGCAAAAACTTTAGAAAAATCGATAAAATGCAAAAATCACTGATTTTCCGAGCAAAAGTGGTCGATTTTCAAAAAAACGTTGCTTTTTATCGCGTATTTAAACTATTTAAAGTTGAAAAAACACTATTTAAACACTTAATATTACGTTATACTAGGTATTTCTTGACTCGGAAGAAAAATTAAGCGATTTTTAACTGTATTTATCTAAATTTTAAGCGATATTATCTATAAAAAAGAATGCAAGACAAAGGTATCTATTTTGAATGTATATTTTAAAAATTTAGAAAAACTATCAAAATCCTTACCGACGGCATTCTTCGCGTCACGTCCGGTCTCAACGATTCCCTCACCAGTCTTCGCGACGGCTCCTCCAACGACTCCAGCACCATACGCTGAAATGTGCCCATATTACCGTAGTCCACACGCATTACAGTAGTTTCCACCCAGCTTTTCCCGGATTTAGAAGCACCACACTCTCACGACGACTCACCCACGCCCTCTACCGCCTTTTTGCCCCCGGCGACGATGAGCTGGCCGCCCTCCTCGGCCGCGTCCCCCATCACTTTGGCGCCGTGCGCTAAAGCCCCCAGGCTATCATCAAAAGCGCTCGAAAAGTGCGACCCCAAAGCTTTAAAAAGATTACTTACCGACTCCACGGCCAGCGGCCTTCGCGCCATCAGCAACCACCTCGGCGCCCTGCGATGCGGTCTCCACGACGGCTCCGGCACCCTTGGCTGAAAAGACGAGCGTAGGTTCTTTCATTCCATAAGGTTCTCTGCTAGTCTGCCAGCCACTTACCGGCTCCATGGGCGACCGTCTTGGCTCCCTCGGCAACGTGTTCACCGGCATCCTTGGCGACGTCGACGGCTCCCTCGCCTGTTCGCACAACGAATCCAGCGGCGGCTCCGGCTCCCTCAGCTGAAAAGAGAGGCGGATGAGAGAGAGGGAGAGAGAGAGAGAGAGAAAGCCAGAGAAATTGAGCATGAGATTGAGAGTGCGGGAGAGGTAGAGAGCTTCATTCGGAACTGCGAGAGAGAGAGAGAGAGGGAGAGAGAGAGAGAGAGAGAGAGAGAGAGAGAGAGAGAGAGATAAAAGAGATAGATCTCGAGAAAAAACTGACCAACGCCCTGTCCGGCCTTCTTGGCACCGTACACAACGGCGTCTCCGGCGGCCTTCGCTCCATCAACAACAGCCTCACCGGCATCCTGAGCAGCTCCTACCACGGCTCCGGCTCCCATGGCTAAAAATAGGGGCATATTTTAGGCCCGCGACATCAATCCTCAATTCCGCGCATTCCGCTTCACACCATGCCGTCAGGGTCATGCTCCTTAGGGTTAGCCAGAAAACGGGAGTATTTTGGGGACGGTGTACATAGGCACGCGGCGTACCGATGCCCTCGCCGACGGCCTTGGCGCCCTCAACAACGGCTTGGCCCGCATTCTGGGCAACACCAACTGCGACACCGGCACCCTTGGCTAAATTTGGGGATAGGACGGGGTTTGGGTGTTTTTGTGCGTCTCCAACGTTAAGATGATCAAATGGGTGGTGCTGGTGGTCTTTCCCAAAGAATCTCTGCTAGCCTGCCCGGGATCCGAATGAGAAGCGATTAAATTCTAAATTCGATAGCTTGATACTTTAAAATTCTTTCCGGTAGCTAGGGTAAGAAGATTTTTCTCAAGAAATCTGGGCCATTTATGCCTCCTTTATAGCTAAGGACTTAATTTTGGAGAATTTTTCCCAATGATCTGTGCTAGCCTCCTGAAAGCTCCTGCATGTGGGGTTTACAAAAAGATAGTGTCAATCGAAATATCTAATTTTGTTAGTATAATCTAAAAATGCTTTTGTAAAGCTCTAAATACAGATTTTAGCTCTATCAAGCGATTTAAAATGCGAAACTACAAGTTCATTTATGCAGTAAGCTATAACTATAGATAGTTTCTAACTATATTAGCAAAATCAATCTTGTAAAACTCCTTACCAACTCCGTGTCCGGCGGCCTTGGCTCCATCAGCTAAAAAAATGGGAAAGTTAGTGGTTTTCTAAATGGTGACCTACCAACAGTCTCTCCAACGGCCTTGGCGCCATCAACGACGGCCTCGCCCGCATTCTGGGCAACTCCAACCACGGCTCCGGCTCCCTTGGCTGAAAACGAGCATGTTTTAGAGTCTAGCCTATGGTGCCGCTACGATGGCTACGATACGCTCCGGTATACAACTCACCAGCGGTCTCGCCGGCAACCTTCGCGCCCTCAACGGCTCCATCCTTGACGGCGGTGGCGGCGGTGGCTAAAAAGATCAAAGTTGAAAAGTTTGGAAGTTTCCGTTAATTCCCTAATGATCTTTGCTAGCTTGCCTTTGCCCAAAAATCGAAAATTTTACTTCAAAAGCACGATATCCACCGTAACCCTGGAAAACCTACCAACGGCCTTTCGCCCGGCCTCGGCGCCCTCTCTTTCACGGCCTCAGCGGCTCCTCCTGAAATTGATAACATAATTTTTAAACCTGAAATGCTATCTAAAGGCATGCGAGTTAAAGGGGGACAGACTGAAAGTTAAAATTAAACAAGTAGAAAATTGAGCAAATCTTACCGAACAGGCCTCCACTGAGATGCCAGCGGCAGAGCCTAATAAAGTTTAGTTAATCAAACAGCCTTTATTTTAGGAGCGAGTCCAAAGGAGCGTAACGTACCGATTGCGCTTCCGACAGCGTTGACACTGGTCATGAAGCCGTCCTTCACAGTTTCGCTGAAGGTCTCTACAAATTGGTTTTTTAGATGCTAAAATTTTTGCTAAAGAAGAAAAAGTTCTAAAAGTTAAAATCGACTCACCAGCAGCTTCCTTGCCCCTCTTCGTATCCTTCCTTGGGCCGAGGGAGCGACTCTGGTTTCTAAAATTCCCGCCACGTAATCGGTGGTTACACCTGCGTTTTAGCAAATATGTGAGGTTTCTAAAGCCGTTTTTAATTCGGTGATGGATAAACTATTAATAATTTAGGTTTTTGCATTTTTATTGCGTGGGATTAGGCTACGACCCGTGGGGAAGGATCATATGAATTGCCGTAAAGTTAAAGTATTTTTTGCTTGATCGCCAGTGGTATTAATTAAAAAATAAAGATTAAGCTGAACTTTATTGGCCTTTGCTCGCTTCTGGTTTTATAAAAAGTGAGGTGGTGTGGAAAGCATAATATTTTTTGGGGTGTTTTTATTAACCTCTCGTCTCCTTTTTCCGCGGAGAAGTCCGGCGGTAAATCCTACAAGATTTTGGAAGAATGGGCAAAAAGGTTTTTAAACCCGGAATTTTAGGGATTATAGATCTTTAGACTGACTCTCCAGCTTCTCCGGCCTTCCTGGCGACAGCCCTGGCTCCATCCTTGGCTCCCTCCTTGACGGTCTCTGAAAAATTGCGCATTAAAAGCCGCATTAAAGCAGATTTTGGGCCAGAAAAAACCATAAAAGTTGTAAAAACTCACCAACACCCTCGCCAACGGTCTCCCAACGGCCTGGGCCCCTGCTTCACGGATTCTGAATAAGAAAAATGAACCAAATCGAAAATGGCACTTACGCTTGGCTCCTCGACCTTCTCGCCGGCCCATTGCGCTCCTTCGCGGGCTCCCTCCTTGACGCGCTCTGGAAATGGATTTGCTAAAAGTTGCCCCTAAGTTTCGG